CCCTGAATAGTGATGAGATTGGTCGCGATTCTATAACTCGAACGGCTCAAACGTCGATGTCATCAAAAATTGTTGGACCGTTAGTTTTTAAGAATTTTTAAGTTGGGTTTAACTTTTTAAATAAGAGAGCGTGGTTCTTTTAATTTTTTTACCTTTAAATAGTCGCTGTTTATCTTAGTAGTTTTCATGTATTTTCATTTAGGGACTCTGATTTTTTCGCTGAAATGGTTGTTGAAGCTGCTACGCTAGTTAAAACTGTTGATGCCCAAGGGCGTGTCATATATCCGATCAAGGCAGTTAACGTTTTGAAGGCACATGGTAAATCTGTTCGTGAAAGTCAGCTGATTAAGGGTTACGCGTTGAATTGTACTGTCGCAAGCCAAGGTACGGTTTTTTCCAACCTTTTATTGTTTGTACTTTTTTTTTCGATTCCCAACGTGTGTTTTTTTTTAGCTATGCCCCTCCTAATTAAGAACGCTAAGATTGCCTGCCTCGACTTTTCGTTGCAAAAAGTTAAAATGCATCTTGGTATCTCCATTGTAGTGGAAGATCCTGAAAAGCTGGAAGCTATTCGGCGGCAGTAAGTACTATTCTATCCTGATTCTTACTTGTGGTCACTTTTTAGACTTTTTTAGACTGCATGTGAATCACTTGGTTTTGAAAAAATTATTTTTTGTTATAATGGAAAGATTTCTGCTAACCGTGAGTTTAGGGAAAGTGAGATTACTAAAGAAAGAATTGCCAAAATACTTAAGTCTGGTGCCAACGTGATTTTGACGACTGGAGGCATTGACGACTTGTGTTTAAAGCAGTTTGTTGAAGCAGGTGCTATGGCGGTTCGACGTTGCAAAAAAGTTGACCTAAAGAGGATTGCTAAAGCTACTGGAGGTCTTATTTTTTTGTACTGGCTACTTGTCTACAAAAAGTTTTTAACAATTTTGAAAATTTTTTTGAAGACGTGCTGCATTAGGTTATTTCTGTGTTGAATTTTTTTTCAGCAACATTAACAACGTCGTTGGCTACGTTAGAGGGAGAGGAAGGATTTGATGTCGCACTGCTCGGATTTGCTGAAGAAGTCGTTCAGGAAAGAATTTCAGACGATGAATTGATTTTAATTAAGGGAACTAAAGCGCGAACTTCATCTTCCATTATTTTGCGGTAATTTAGTATCAATTAATTTACACTTCTATGTAGGTAATAATAAAAGAATTAAAATGAAGTGGAATCTTCTTTATCGTCTACAATGAACTACAAATCTGGTGTGTTTTTTTTTTTTTTTTTTGAGAAGTATTTTTTACTTGGTGAGTGGCAACCGTTTTTCTCCTACTTTTTTTCTCATTGAATAATTTTAGTGGTGCAAACGACGTAATGTTGGATGAAATGGAAAGGTCGATTCATGATGCTTTATGTGTCGTTCAGCGTGTTTTGGAAAGTAAAAAGGTTGTTGTCGGAGGTGGGGCTGTTGAAGCTGCTTTGAACGTCTACTTGGAAGCATTTGCTACGAGCTTGGTAATCTCGTAATTTATAATTAAATGGTCATTTCGTTGTAGTGGAGGAAATTCTTTGAAATAGAAGTTGATCTTTGAAAAAAAAGCTTACCTATTACACTTCTCTGGCGGTATCTCTATTTTTTTGACCCAAATTTTTTATGGTAACATTTTCATAATTTTTTTGAAGTTTAGTCCAGTCGCGAACAGCTCGCAGTTGCTGAGTTTGCTAATTCATTATTGGTGATACCGAAAACTTTGGCTGCAAATGCGGCTCGTGACTCCAGCGAATTAGTGGCTAACTTACGTTTGTTCCATAACAAGGCCCAGAAATCAAAAGAGTCTTCGCATTTTAAGTGGTATGTTGCTTTATTAATTCAGAATTTTGAATTTGAAACTGTCATTTGCTATGTAGGGTTTGAGAAAGCTTATTTTTTTCCAGTTTATTTGGTGAATTTTTTTTAATAAGTCTTTATGCTGTCAGAGCTTTCATGAAATTTTAGGGCTGGTTTGGACCTCGAAAATGGAAAAGTTCGGGACAACAAGGAGGCAGGAGTTTTTGAACCACTAATCAGCAAAGTTAAAAGCTTGAAGTTTGCAACAGAAGCAGCAATAACAATTTTGCGAATTGATGATCTTATTAAGCTAGAAAAACCTAAAAGAGCACCAGAGGTGGATGAGGAGGGTTGTTTATCATAAATTTGTGGAATTGCTGGTTCTAGATGAACTGCCACAGTTATGGATGTTTACCGCATACTGTAACTGTGTTGGTCTTCGTAAGTGTTACTGATTGCTCTTTAGTGTACACAAGCATCTCGCTTTTGGAGGCTTTAACAAAGTATTACATGCTTCGTCCCAGCGTAATTTTCATCTTACCGACTAGTAATCCGGAAATAATTTTTGTGGTGGACTGGTCGAGAAATTTTTTAAAGTGATTTCAACGCTTATTTTGTTGGTAACATTTTGCTACACAAATTTTGGCAAGAACAGCTGAAAACAGCTTTTTTTTTACTCAGTGATGAACTGTTATCGCATTTGTTGTGTTTCTTGTTATTTTTCGCTGTTTTTAATAAAGAAGGCTCTCTATGTAGTTGTACAGCTATAGTGAATAGCCGATACAAAGGAGCGGTTCTTCAGGACCATCCTTTTTGGCTTTGACTTTTTGGAGCCATGTCATGGAGACCGTGTCTAAGAAACAAGATGGGTTTTTTTATTTGCAGCAATGATAGTTGTATAGTTATGTCTTCAAACAGATTACGGCTTTTCTTGGAAGGCTAGTTCTTCAATTGTTTCTTTACTGAGCTGTACTCTAATATCAGCATTTTTGAAAGTAACTTAGGGATATATTAGTTTTAATTGTGACAGCTCGGTAGAGGATGGGTACTTTTTAAGCTTGCTCGTTAGTCGTGCTTTTGCCATTTTGTTTGTTTTCAGGCATTTTATTGGTATTAGCAGTGATCTACGTCCTGGTTCTGGATGCTGTAGGTTTTCTTTTTCTTTTTTTTTTTGTGAATTTAACTTGCGCGTTTTCTTCAGTATGGCATAGGACGAGTTATGGTTTAATTGCCTCAATAGAGTGACGACGTATTGGTACAACTTAAAATTCATTGTTTGAATTAGTATTAGGGGACAACTGTTACGCCATGGTCTATTTTATATAATTCTTGTTTGTAAGGTTGTGGGCTGCATATGTTTTTCAGTTTTTAAAACATCTGTTGTCTTACGGATATCACCAGCACAGTTGTCAGGGCGCTAGTTTGCTGCTAGAGGTGGAATAGTGGCTCGTTGCTTTTTATTTTTAAACTTAGTGCACTTCTCGCCTGTTTTAAGTCATCTTAAATCCCGTTAACTTTGGATAAACATTATGAGTGTGACCTGAAGGGTAATGTAAGCAGAAACTCTTGTTTTTATCTAAATAAGCTTCAAGTAAGTTTTACGGCAATTTAACGGTCATCTGTGTTACATGGCGGAGAGGAACTGTTCATTGCAGGCTCCGGTCTAGAAATTTTAAAGTTTTTTCACGATACCTGTGGTTGAATAAATCTCAGAAAGAAAAATTTTTGTTTACCGATGGTTTGAATGCAGGAAGATGGTTCTACACCTGTCAGTGAAGGTTTGGGACAGGAGTTAAAACTGCTGGATGAGAATTATAATGAGAGTCGTGTAGCGGCCATTGATAAATACGATGCTGAAAATCCCAATGATACATTAAACGACGCTTCGAAGAACGGCGAAGAAGGTACTATATTGATTAGTACAAGCTATCTGCCCTTCTTTATTTTTTTTTCTTCTGCAGATCTGATATTTCTAAACGACAAACCTCAATAGTTTTTAATATTTGGTTGGATCATAACATTTACCGTATCGATTAGTTTTTGTCTAATAGAAATATTCTCAAGTAGTATTTTAAATCTCTTGAACAGCTAAATTTCATATGGTTTTGATTGAAATTTTTATTTGTTTATAAAAGCTTTTTTCGTTGCTGCAAATGATAAATTTCTCAACGACTTTCTTTTCTTGCGCCACTTGGGATAACTGTTGATTCATGAAGGATACGACAGAACTTTTGCTCAGTTGTAAGGATCGTCTAAATTCTTTTTTTGGAAACTATTTAGTAGTTTGTATCTGTTATTTGAGATCTTATTTTTGTGGTGGCTTATCATTTGATAGATGCAGTGGTTGCACTGTATATCTTGAAAACAAAGGTTTTGCAAAAATTGTCAAATTCAGTATATAGTTAGCTTGATAGGTTTATATCAGTTTATATATTCCTGTCTGGTTTTTCGATGTGTTGTTTCTTAGTGTCTGTTTTTCCAGTACTAAGCAGATGCTGACATTGACAGTAGCTGTCAATGCGCCAAAAGTTTTGGGTTTTCTGAAGTTACTTTTGTGCACACTAAACAGTATAGCTTTGGTTAGAACTGAAATGTGCTGCAGCCAAAGCATCACTGTTTTGTTGACGCTTTGAAACAGTTATTCAGAATCCATTTTATAGTATTAATTTATAGTATTAATTCAATTTCAAGTAGTTTTTTTGCTGTAGCAATGTATAAAAATAATAATCTGCGTTTTTTAGAAGAATACGTCTACAACACTAAAAAGCTGTCATTTTTGGCAATAATTACTTTTGGAGCAGTAATTGCGGTTTGTTTTTGTGGTGCCCTAATATGCGGATTTTGTACAACTGGAGACGATGTAAAACCAAAATATGTCTCACATGCGTAACTGGAACAACTGTAACTGAAAAAGTCGTTAAATACTTATTCTGCGAGTTTTAAATTTCCATCGCATATTTTGTTGTTTTAACTGTCGAACAAATAAAGCATTAATTTATCTATTTATGAGTCGTCTACAATACTTCTTTCGTTTTCTACATATTTGAGTCGCTTCATAAATTGTATGAAATGATCAACCAAACGTTGACGATTTTTCAACACCAACAGTTGCATGCTAAATTTTTATAGAAATAAATAATAATTCTGTTGAGCGCAATTAACAATTAGAGGAATCTTCACAAAATTTTTGAAACGTTTGCAGAAAAAAGTTGTTTTACCGCAGACTTCTAAATGTAGTGTAGCCTTAATCGGCTGCAGAAGAAAGAGTACTGTTTTACAACTGTGTAATAAATTCCTGCCGGTACTGATGTTTT